TTTAAGAACATTTTCATTTCTGTCAGCATATTTACAGCTGAGTTTTCTAAGTGAACCAGCATGAAGGTTCGAATCCTTGGCTAGCCCACGCTAGTGTGTGGATAGAGTATGCTATCATGCCAAGCTCTGTTAACTTTATCTTGTTCTTATATTAATTCAAATAATAGATAGTGTATATATAATGGACTAGAGGGTATACCCCGGCCTTGACAAAACTAGTGAAATATATAGAATATTTGAATTTTGACCAAGAATAATGTTGCCAGATTTAGATGCCAAATTGAGCAAGAGGCCAAACCATGAGCAAAGAGACAAAACTAGTAAAAACCGAAAGGATTCTGATCAAGTTATGAGGGTGGGAAATTTTGACCCATGTCTATATAGGATATTTGAGGGTATATTCCGTATATAATATAGGAGGGCCCACGTACCAAAATTCTTTTTAAGAACTCTTATAATCTTTGATTAATAAGGGATCATTGATCTTCATATTTATCAATATAAGTGAATTGGGCAGGACATCTAGATTCATACAGACAGAGAGATAGACTTAGCTCATCCTCTAGATCAAACACATATATACTTTATAATGTTTGAGAAGCTTTTTTCTCCCAACAACATACATTGGCCTAAGATATATGTCTGACATATATATAAAAATTCCCTTTTATCATGCCAAGTCTTTATTTGTTTTTAATAATCGCAACTCATCTACATTCCAGTATTTAGAGTTCCGTAAAACATGTTTCAAGATTTCAACGCTGCATAACAAACATTTGATTTCTTGCTTCCTGTGTGTGTGTGCGCGTGTGTGTGTGTGTGTGTTGGTGTTGGTGTGTGTGCAGGGAAATGCCGCTTACAAGCATTCATAAATCCTCACCAAGTTCAACGCGCGACAACTCTGCTGTCCGTACAGATTCCGTTTGTTTAGTTCAGTTGGTTTTTTTCTTTGTGTTCCTTTGGTCGTTTTTGTGCACATAGTTTTTTATAGCATACTTATGTGGGACAGCGGAGCGAAATCCATTTCACTTATCCCATGCACTTTTATGGCTTTGGCCACCAAAAATTTTGCACATTAAAGCGAACTTTTTAACATGACATATGTAAGCCAGTCGTCGCCCGTGCCCAGCTCCCCCGTGTAGCTGGGATTTGCGGTGCCACCCATTGGCCAAACACACAAGTTGCACAAATACACATTTCATATTCATAGTCTGAGAGCTTAAAAGCAAAGAAATTAACTTCACAAAAGTTTGCACAAACGTTGAAAACGAGTCGTCGACTCGTCGAGTTGTCGAATGCGACGACACACACGGCGTATGTGTAATATGTGAATATGAAAATGTGTTGCGCGCGCGTGTGTGAGTGTGTAACCCGTAGCCCAGAACACACCCTTGCACAAGGCCTACTCGAAATGTGCTTCGGCTGCGGCTCTCCACACTATTTTTGTGCTTAGTCGGCTCATCTGCATTTTATGGTCCAAAAATATCATCATCATTTTTTCGCATTTCATTATGTTCCCTCTCTCTCACTCTCTCTCTCTCTCTGTGTGTGTGGGGCAACATGCTAGCAGCTGAAAACTTAGCAGCCTCATTTAGTATGCTTCATTTCATTATATGGCTCGCTTCCCAATCCCCAGCTCCCCACAACTGTCGCCTGCCTATGACTACTTTAAAAATAAGAAAGAAAGCAAAAATGAAAAAAAAAAGCAGCTCTTAACTTTCGCTGCAACCGCAAACATTTTGGGCCACATTTTGTGGGCAATCCTTCTGCCTGGGCCTCCGACAAAACGGTGCGAGAAATTGTCCTCTCGTCAGTCGTTTTTTATATTATTTTTTTTTTTACATTTATTTCTCTTCTTCTACTTTTTTGCGCTTCTGATGTCGCATGCAATTTTTGTTTTTTTTTTGCGCTGCGTAGCAACTCCTTTGGGTCTGTCTCCACGCTGGGCGCTGCTTGTCCTGGCTGCCAGCCGGCCTGCCTTTCCCGTCCCGCCCATTTTGGCGCCCGCTAAGCTCATCTACAGCCTTCCGCCTCGTTGTTTGCACCCCTCTCCCGTCACTCATTTTTTTCTTCTCGTAATTTTCATAAGCAGCCGTTAGACGTTGGATTTATGTTTTTAAACGCCTTTTAATATGCGAGAGGATCTTCGCGCGCGCCCCAACAGAAAACAGAGCAGAGCAAAGCAGAACACAAAGCCACTTGCAAATGCCGCGTAGCCAGCCTCGTTGTCCTAGTCGCCTGCGTCCTTAGCCCAACCAGCCCCAGCCCCCCTCGCCCACCGCTTCCTCGCTCGACGCCCTTCGTCCTTGGCCTGGCTGTGCCTTACGTTGCGCGTTCCGTTGCGTGGCAGGGCGCAAATCCAGTGAGAATGCGTTTAAAAAAATATTATAATAATAACATTACGTAAATAATTGTTGGGCGCTCGGCGTCGGGAGGTGCGGCAGGACGCGGGTAAATGGCAACGGCAACACGCGCCGCAGGAATAGCTACGGAAATCAGCTGCGTGTTGATAAGCAAAGCGAGAGAGAGAGAGTGGAGAGAGAGAGAGATAGAGAGGAGAGAGAGGGTAAACTGAGGGACACTAAGAAGTTGCTGCCTACGGGTAGGTCCTGTTCTGCCTCAGGCTTTCGCACTTGGCGTGCGTGTGCGCGTAATATAGCTGTGCTTTGCGGTTAGTCGCAGCATCACGTTAAATCGAAAAGTATTTTAAAGCCGCATTAGTAAATACCCTTAGAATAATAACAGATAAGCTGACTGCAAGAGTATTATGGTTAAAGAAAAGTATTTTGAGATTCAACTTTAAAGAGATCATAAAACAAAATAGTTCAGAGCTATTTCAGCAGCTACGCCCAAAGCAAAGTTTAGTCTTAGAATTAGTTATATTAGTAAGATGTTATGGTATATTATCGTTTATTATAAGTTAAGTTTATTATCGTATGATTAACCTAATCCCAAATAGTAACTTTAAATCATAAGAGCTAAAGCTGTTGAGATTAAGGGCAGGCCGATTTTTTATAGTTTACTATGAACCGAACCTTAGCCCAAAAGTTTTAGATAAAAATTTAACTCAGCCGAATTAAGAAAATGTTAGACTTCAAATAAAAAACTTTAAATGAAGATCCAGCATCAAATTATAAACAACCTAGCTTCCAACCATTGCATTTATCTATCTATTATATATTGAGTAGATGACAAATTTGGTTGGAAATCAAATCTAGCCCGCAATTCATAAATGTGAATATATGAATGGCTTGTCATATTTTCCGCAGAGCGGGCAATTGTAAATTAAAAATTGAATAGATGCATTTAAATATGGAAAGCATTCACCAAACCACCAAAACTCTTGAAGCGAATCTAAGTGCTGGGAGTTTGTTTGAACTGTAAGGCAAAAATTTATTTTGCCCTGCGGCCCAAAACTAAAATTGGACTCAAACTTATTTAATTAGTAAAAAGTTTAATTTATAGAAATTCATAATTTATGAAATATTACTTTCATTCTTGGAAGACCTTACATATTTAGATTTGCCTTAATATTTAAACTACTTTTAAATCCCTCTTAAGTCTTGTATACTTTCGGATCTAATGCAATTGCACTCACTTTCCCATTTAACTGCTTTTCTAACACTGTTTTTTTCCAAAAATATCAAAGCTTCTTAACACTTAACCATAGCTTTATAAGCACAGAAAAGCTTATGTTATTTAAAATTCAAATTCTATAAATTTTTAAAATTTTTCTGCTTTTCCAACACTACTTATCCCCAATTTGATCGTTGTTTAACACTTAAGAACAGCTTGAAAACCACAAGAAAGATTTTGTTGATTAGAATTGAAATTAAATAAAATTTGACTACTTTACTATTTTTCCAACACTGTTAATTCCCAATTGCCTCGCTTCTTAACACTTAAGTACAGTTTTCAAAGCACAGAAAGGCTTTTGTTAATTAGAATTCCTTTTTTAAAATATATATAAAAGCTTTGTTGGCTTTTATTCCCAGTCTCTACATTTTATTCTAGGGAAATTGAAAACGTTTCGGATATAATTATAGTTTCCCATATTTTGCACAATATATTTATTAAGAGTATAATATGAAGGAACAGACTATCAAAGTAACTTTTTCAATGGCCACTTTATCCTCATATTTCTCATCATTTTTACTATATTATTATTATGAGTAAAATATATAAAAACAGACTATCAAAGTTTTCAATTGCCACTTTATCCTTCAACTACGATATACTTTGAATCATATTTATTTATTCAGCCAGTAGTTCTGTAGTTTTCCCCAACTTGTCTACGCAGTGCCATGAACAGTTTGGTTTCCTTTTCGGAAAGTATCGCTGAATATTCAAAATACCTTTGGGGCATATTCCCGTTACGCGTCATGCTTCACGCGTAACTCCCTTTTTTTTCGCTAGAGTATCTCGTGAAGGAGGGCGAAAAAAAAAGGCGCTACATAGATGAGGCACATTTGTAACTCTGTCTAACCGAGCGCAGTGGCAGGCAGCAAAATGTGCGTGTGGCATTTAGTAGGCAGTGACAGCGGCAGTGGCAGGGGCACAGATAAAGACGGAGGATGGTGGCAGAAGGAGGTCCTAAACGGGCACCCACACACACACACACGCACACCCATTGCTGTCGAAATTTTGTTGTCATCATCACTTTGCAGGCGAAACAACTGAAACTGATGGGAAGCAGGATGGGGGCTAGGCTTGGCGTTGGGGATGGGGTTTGCTGGAGATGGAGTTGAAGCCGTAGCCGTTGCTGCCTGTCAGCCACAAAGTTATCTGCCTGCCAGTTTTTTTTTGTCAGTAATATTGTTGTTGTTGCCATCTTCCGTTTTTAATTTCATCTGCCATTTGCTGCTACTTATGACACATCCTTTGCCCACAACCCGCCCAAGATGCTCCCTCAAGTGCTCAGCTTTTGCTCAAGCATTCGGTAAAAAAATAACAACTTTTTCTTCCTTTTTTTTTGTGGTAATATTTCTGTGGGTACTTACCTTGGGATGTGCACGTCGCGGAAAAGCTACTTTCGGGTCCACCTGCAAGCAGAAGAGAAAAAGTGAGTGAGAGTGAGTGAGAGAATGTGTGAGAGAGAGAGAGGGAGACAGCTGTAGAATGCGTAGCAAGGAAATCGTATGCTTAATGACATTTAAATGAAAAAGCATTTCGAGCAACTCTTCATATTAATAGCCGAGCATAAATCTTGCATAAGCCTGCATTGCGCATTAAGCGGGAATTACTCCTAGGGGATGCGCGGGATGGACAAAGGGGCGAGGGGGCGTCTGTGGGTGTCATGATGGTCTGCGGTATATGCTGAACTTGGAGCTGAGCACGCACGAATTAACGCATAACAAATTGCGCGTCCAGCGGAGAGCCCCGCAATCCGGCGGCGCCAATAAGCAGCGTCATTAAAAATAATTAAAAATCATAAAAATTCAATTTTAAGTGCTTTGCTTTGCCACTCATTTCGGCTCCTTCCTGTTACGCCAGCCCAGCGGGCTGCTCCCTAACACACACAGACACACACACACACACAGTGAGAGCGCTCGTCCTGACAGCTCACGGTAAGCCCCAAGGGGTCGGATTGCGGGGTGGGTGCGGTCTCCCTGGGGTCTCATTTTTGTACGCGCCCCCCAAAACTAAATCTTTTTGTGAAGTGACTTTGCGCTGCATTTAGCTGCAAGTGCGGGTAACTTAAGCCAATGCCGCAAATAAAATGGCAAATAAAATGAAGAGATATTGGCTAAGATAAATGCAGCTAGAGAATGGCGCGAGAGAGAGAGAGGGAGGGAGAGGGAGGGGGAGAGCGCGGCAACGCAATATCCTCTGGCGATAATAATTCGCACAGAAATTGTCACAGGACAGCAGCAAATGTTGACAGGACGGCAGTTTGCCGTGTTGATTTCCTGTGTGCAGCACGACAAAACAACAACAAACAACAACAACAACAACAAGAACAACAAACAGCAACAAGAACAAGAACAACGTTGCAGGGGCAGCCTGGCCTGGCGGGAAATTGATTTTTAGATTAAAATTAAAACTAATCAGCGCGGAGTGGCAAAAGTCGACGTCGACTTTTTGGTGAAATACATCAGACCGAAAAAGCGTAACGAAATGAAATGAAATGAATTCGCATCGTTTTCAGTTTTGGCCCTGCTGTGTGTGTGCAGCCAAACGGAAACACGAAACACTGTGCTACACACACACACACACACACGCACGCAAACAACCCACACACATGTGTGTGTGTGTGTGAGTGTGTGCGAACTGCAGTTGGTTTCGAAAAAAGTGATATAAATATACATATAAATGATGGCTGCGCATTTTATTTACAGTTGGCCAGCTGTGTTGCCATAAAAGAATGACCAACAAATACAGACAGACACAAACAGACACACAGACAGACACACACACACAGACAGCTAATTAAGCTAATGCCAATGTGGCGTATGCGTAATACGAGCTGCCTTCTGACAGCCTGTCTTCGCCAATTTTGGCCAATCCGGCTAATCAAAGCGAATTCATCAATGACATGCATTGCCCAGTGTTGGACAACGTTCAAGCTCCACTTGACTGTGCACTTTGAAACACACACACACACATATTTATGCGAGTCTGTGAACTGTAAAGTTAGCCTGGAGCAAATTTAAATCTTTCATTAGTTGCCCAAAAATCAACGGATTTTCATGATTTGTTAACTAGTAGATGAGCTGACTCGTGCATTTGCATTTGGAAATATTATATTTGCGAATTGCAATGTCAAAACTCATATTAATATGGTATTGTGTTGGGAAATTTCAGGCTCTAGGCTCCAGGTTAAGGCAAATACTAATATCTAAAAAAAGTGGATGAACATACAAAGCTATTTATAGCGCTCTCTAAATTTGAATATCCATAATTAAGTCAAAACTCCTGCGATTCTAATAAAGTATACACCTTTGGTCTGGCCTCTAGATTTTGAAAATATATTAATAAATTTAAAAACTCGTGTCCGAAAAAGTGGATAAAGAAAATTCGAAAGTAGGGATGAATGAAATACCTTGTCAAAATACATGCACTTTTAAGTAGTTATTTTCAGGATTATTCTTTTGAATTGAATGTCAATATTATAGTCTAAAATTTGGACTAGAACAAAGCCAAAAATAACTTTACATAAAGCAATTATTTAGCTTTTAAACCTTCCAAGCACATAAAAATCATTTTTGCTTTAGAGCTTTTCAAAACTTTGTCAAAACTTTAAAGGATAACATTTGGACGGAATATAATTTCACATAATTTCAAAAAGTCATTTTATTTTTTCTCTTTTTTGGCCTTGTGAAATCAAAAAAGTTTATAAATTGGCAAGCTCAATATTTAATTTTTAATCGCAGTTTATTAAAAAAGCACACAGAATGGCAAAGTGAAGCTGCTCATTTTGATGCTCGGGCACCACCAGCTGCACCACCCGCAGCACCACCCGCAGCACCACCCGCGTTGTAGTCGAGCACATCACGTAATTAAAAATTGTTTGGCTTTTAAAAAAATGCACGTTTTTGGCTAAAGCTTTCCATAGACAGGTTATTGTTTTCTGTCTTCTGCAGCTTTGAGTTTTTTTTTTTTCTGACGTGTTTTTCATGTTTTTTAACTTTTGTGATTTGCTGTTTTTGTTAGTTGCCTGTCATTGCTTTGAGTTTCTAATTGCTGTCAATAGAGAGGGAGCGCGAGAGGGGGCGAGGGAGAGAGGGAGAGGGAGTGCAAGCGAGAGACAGGAGGCAATTTATGAAGCGCGCGAGTTGCTTTGTGCAAATATTTTGCATAGCTGGTGAAGTTTTTTTCTATTTTGTTTCCCGCTGGGTTTGTTTGTCAAGAGTCGGGTTCGAGTTACGGATTGGTGGGTGCATATTCTTTTTTTTTCTTTTTTTTTTGGCAGTAGCATATGTGAGGTGTGTGGGGAGATTTACCTTTTTGCCATCCAGCTCGTGTGTGCCTTGGGTGAGTACCTTATCTACGCTATTTGGATCGCTGAATGTGACAAAGCCAAAGCCCCTGCAATAGAAAGAGAGAGAGAGAGAGGTGAGAGAGTGAGAGTGAGAGAGATGAAAGTAAATATCAACACGGTTAGACAAGTTGCTTAAATATTTGACAAGCAGCTCGATAAACCTGAACTCAACACAAACTCGGCAACTCGGCAAACTGGGAAACTGAAATTCAGCTACGGTACGAGGCAGCACGTGCGCCAATTAGAGGCTCAAATTACATCAAAAATATTGGCTAAGCAAGTCGAAGACTGACTTTCGTCGACTGCTCTTTGCCTAAACCATTTTGCCCAATTGCCAAGGCTCGAATGAGCTCGACTAATGCTCGACCTGAAAGACGCTTACAAGCCATTACACACACACACACGCACACACACACACACACACCCCAATATATACACACAGCCAGACAGGCTGCCTTCCCGTGTCGTGTTGTGATAAACTTATTCTTGTTAAATATTTAATTAAAATGCTTATTATCTCGCACTGCATTTTAATGAGTCTCCCATGCCCATGTACCAGCCAGAGCCAGAGCCAGAGCCAAAGACAACAAACCAGCTCACAGATTTTGGCTGTGCCACAACACACCAGCCAGCCCTCCCCCCTCTTGACTGTGTGTGCACGTTTATGTTTATTTGAGTTTTGCCACTTGGCAGCGACGCTTAACGATGCGCCAGGCGTTGCTGCTCCAGACTCCGTGCCTTCAGCTGGCACCGGCTCCGGCTCTGGCTCCAACTTCTTTGCCAGACACAGCAGCCACAACGCTCGTATTTGTCTTGCTCTTTTAGGCGCTGCACACACACACACACACACACACGTATCCAATCCAGCTAGAGGAGGTGGGACGGGGGTGAGCGGAAGCCTTAACCGCAAGCACAGACAGTAATTAACGACGATTCTATTGCAATTGTGGCGATTGTTATGGTTTTGATTATACCACTCCTCGCAGAGCCAAGCGGAACCGATGGCCAGCTACAGCTGCTCCTTGTCCACTTGGCTTTTTATTGCAGCAACTTTATACACAAATTGCTATGCAATAGCAACAACAACAACAACAACAGCAATTACAATGAGAGCTTGTTGCAAATTTATAAAAACAATTTGCATATGGAAAAGCTTCCCACACACACACACACACACACACACAATCGTTGCAGCTAAGCTTGAGCTCGGGCAACTGGAAATGGAATTGGATTTGGGTATTGGAAATGTGGGCGCTGTGCGTGCAGCCGTGCACCCGGCTCGGTGTTTTGGTACGTACTCGACACCGCCTGGCACATATTAAATAAACATTTCTCTTCGTATTTATAGACAAGCAATTTGTGCAAATGCATTGCGAAAAAGCGGCCTACGCCTATTAATATTGATTTAAATTGTTGACGGTGCGACGAGGCGGGGCAGTGCGGTGCGGGGGCTTAGCCTTTAGGTCATGTGGGTGGCACGCGCTGTTGAGTGGTGGGCGTGTCTCCACTCAAGTGGGTCACACAAAATTGCCAAACGGAAAGTGACACAAAGTTGAAGCCAGAGACTGCTGCAATGCCTCCTGCACTTATATGAGCAGACGTGCACCCCCCCCCCCCCCTTTCCCTTTCTCTATCTCCACTTCTCTGTCTCGCTCTCGCTCGCCTATTGTCTCTCACAAAGTGAAAAGCCACAAATTTAAAAGGCAAAACTCAAAAATAATGTGTCTCCTGTGTGCAATTTACTCACAAATTCAGATTCAATTTATGCAACTCGAGGCAAGGCAAGCGGCAGGCGCACCGAAAAACCCAGCGACAGCAGACAGCACCAGGATAACAACAGAATAAGGACGTGCATGCGTGTGTTTGTGTATGTGTGTGTGTGTGTGTGTTCTGTGCACAATAAAAAGCAAAATAACAACAAATAGCTATACAGCTACGATTATAAGATACCCTGTACGACAGATTCACAGAAAAGTTGCTGCATTTATAACTCCCATCGAAACATTTATCGAAGTGTGTGTGCAACAGCATGAAAAAAGCTTAAAAATGAACTTTTATGCAGTCGCATTTGTATACTCAAATACCTATTAAAGCTTTAAAGCTTCTTCTTCCACACATTAAGTAAAAGTTTCATTAATTTACAGTATATTTTCTATAACATACTTTCTTCCTGATTAACAATTTAAAAAAGATCTGAAAGCTTTTAACAAGCATTATTTTTTCAATTTAAATTACTATTCTAACTACTTAAGTTACTGGCTACAACTCTGATCTTCGCTTTACAACAGCTTTTGCACGCTATAACAACTTCAAAAGCTAAAAAAAGCTTTAGACAAGCTTAACTGCGCATTGATTGCATTAAAGCTGACTTAAAGCTCAAAGCTTAACTAACTTGTTAAAAGATAACGGTTATTCATCTCCTACATGTTATCTGCTCTACAGGAAGAAACTTTAAAAGTAAAAACTTGAGAGCTTTTAGCTTTAAGCTATTCGCTCAAAATCAATACTTTGATGTTTTACAAATTATCGTTCATGTAATGTTGTTTAAATATGAAACACAAAACTATTCTTGAAAGCTTCAAAGCTTTAGGCCAGCTGTCTTTGACTATGTGAGCACTGTTCAAGAACCTTAATAGTTTTTGCTTACTAAAATATTTCATACAATTTTAATCTTACTTCTTCTACTTAAAAATTACGGCTCAAGTGCAATTGTTTAACTAGCTTCCCACACTCAATGATCGTTTAAATGTTGAAAAGCTTTACACACGCTGAATGATATGAATAAAACTAACTCTCGACTAATTTATCTAAAAAATAACGGTTATCCTTCTCTTACTCTCGCTACTTCTGTGTTTCATATGAAAACATGGAACTTTAATAGTTTTTGCCTATAGGAAGCAAACGATTCCGCCAAAAGCTTAAGAGCCTTAGCTATGTAAGCTCCAAGCTTAGGATCTTCACTGCTATTGCTCACTTCTTGTATTTGTGAAGTTTCAGTCCAGTAAAGCTGTTTAACTTTGCCCCACTCTGCTTTTAAAGACTAAAAGCTGAGTGATATTTGATAAATGCAATTAAGCTGACTTAAAGCTTAAAGGTCGGTTAGCTCAAGCTTTTATTATACATATATATTTACACCTTATTGTTGCTTTTTCCATGAAATTTTTCATTATTCAAATGTACTTTTTTATCAGCTTTAAAGCTGCCTAATTAATCTGACAATTCAGCAAAGCTTAAAAGCAGACGGGCTGTCATCTCGAATAACCCTTTTACCCTCTTCGCATACAGGGTATTTAGTGTAACAAACAGAGACATGCAGACTAGAGGATCTAGAAACATGCAGCCCGAACTGGGCAGGTGGCGGGGTCGCCGACGTAGGTGGGCTGCCTGAAGCTGAAGCGGAGGCTGGGAGTGTACAGAGCAGCGGGGCAGCGGGGGCCGGAGCTGATGCTGAATATGGTTTGGTTTGCTTTGGTTAGCTTTGTTGCTGTTGCTGTTGTTGGTTCGTTGGATTGTTGCTTGTTGAATTTTATAAAGCCGTTTCAGAATGCTAATGAGCGCACGCACAAGCTGCCAAGGTAAGCAGCAGCTGTGGATGTGGATGCGGGCAACGGGCGGTTGAGCCGGGCAGGGAGGAGTAGGGTGGCGGGGGGGGGCAGCGTGGCAATCATGTAACACACACGCCGCAAACACGTACCAGCTACGAGCCAGCCTCAAGAGTCGTCGCTGCCGCCGCTGCTGCCACCGTCGCCGTCGCCTCAGTGTTGCAAGGAAGCAACATAAAAGTCTTATTTGAATTGCCTTGCAGAGCTTGAGAAAGTTTCATAGTCGCAGATCCTTGTTGTTGCTACAGTTGTTGTTTGCATTATTGTTGTTGTTCTTGCTGATGCTATTGCTGGCTTACGCACAATTTAGCAAAACAACTTGCATGTATTTAGCCTATGGGTTTGCCTGAGTCGCCATCTGAGCATGTGTGTGCTTGTGTCTTTGTGCAGCAGTTGGGGTCCTGTCTCTGGCAGCGTCTTGGATTACCGTAAATAATCTAACTAAATGAGTTACCAAACGGTCAAAGTTCAGTCGAGGTGTTGCCAAAAGGCGTCCTCCAGCCCAGCAGCAGCATTTCGGTTAGTGAATATGTGTTGCAAAACTAAACTTAAGATAAGCGCCAGGATCCACCTACTACTCCCCTTTACCCGGCCAGCCCGAGAAAAACAAACACATCCAGGACTTGACTAGTTAATGCTTACGTAGCTGGCAGGCAAACTGAATACGATATTTGAGCACTACATATGTCCAGTAAGCATGATAATGTGCCCTTAAAGACTGCGCACGGTAAGCACATTCACCATACTGATACTAGATTAGCCTCAAAATGTCCCAAAGGACTCTTAACTATATGGCAACGGTGCATGCCTCTCGAATAAGTTACGCATGCTACATACACAAAATAGTTTAAAGGAAACATATTTATTGCCCACACATGCTTCCAGCCTTAGATAGCTGTAGGTATTAGAATTGGGGAATTCCAGAAGAATCTTAAGAATTAAATCAGAGTCTAGGGTACTTAAAATGGACAGGACTAATTAACGTTCAAGGCTGTAAACAGCTTACGAGACGAACACGTTGGAGTCTAGAATTCCCATTTGCTTTTTACTAAGAGCCGAGAAGACCTCGTTCATACAAACATTTTGAAACTTTCTAGAATGTATTTAATTATATAACCAGAAATCATAAAACTAACAGAAAACTGATTGCGATGAAAGTAACCTAAACTAAAGCTCTATGCCAAAAATATTACACTAGCTCAACACACAACAAACAATAACTGAACTGACCTAGCCGAAAAATGCAATCTATGAGAATCGCAAAGAGAGGCGGCGGCAGCAGCAGCAGCAGCAGCAACAAATGACGCCTGCTCGCATTGATGAGTGCGCGCAAGAGTGTTTTATGTACAATGTACTGTTTATTGTCGCCATTTGTTGCAGCAGTCGCCTGTCAAGGCTGCACGAAGAACATTAATGGCAGCCGCAAGTCATGCCCTCAACCTTAA